TCACCAAAAGCGTGCGCGCGCGCTCTTGCGTCGTCGTCGTCGTCGTCGTCGTCGTCGCCGTCCCTCCTCCCGCGTCGTCGTCGTCGTCGCCTACGTCGTCCTCTGTCTTTCCTCGTGTTTTTTTTTTTTTTTTTTTTTTTTTGGTGTCCTGACAAAGACCAGCCGCACGCGTAATGGCCAGAGGTTTGAAAAACGCGCAATTGCGCCGTCCTCAGTAGTGGACCGAAAGGACTGAGAACAGGCTGAGGAAGGCCACCGTGATGAAAGCCACCTCGAACAACGAACAGGCGAAGACGTCGGTCACGCCATCGAAGCCCGTGCGCACGTGCCCGCATAAACGTGCCCCCCGATCACTGGGAGCTGCCCCCCCGAAGAGCTCCTGCCGCCAGCAGCACCGTCGACGCCTCATGGACCCCGACACCCACCACAAGGCCAGCATGCTCGCCAGAGAGCCGCTCGACCAGACGATCAGGGCGCACATCAGCAGATGCACCACCTGCGCCGTGGGCTCCAGCATCGTCCCCGTCGTAGACGTCCTTGCCGCGAATGCCCGCCATCTCCGTCCCATGCGCACTGGGGCGGACCTCCGTCGAAGACTCTAGTACCAGCCGATCGTCCGACACACCGTGAGCCCCGAACGCCTGAGCCAGAAAACCAGGGTCCTCTGCAGGAGGATGCACTAGCGGAACAGGGAGTACAGCAGCAGGCACTCCAGCAGCAATGCGGACACCCAGATCCCCAGCAGGAAGATCTCCAAACATACCGCCACGAAACCCTTCACTGCCAGGGTGGCCCGACTCCATGAAGCCGTCCTCGCCCTTGAAGCCGAACGCCGAGCTGAAGACGACTGCCCCGCACGAGCACCGAAGCCCGTGCCGCCGTGCCGGGACAAGGCCGAAGGGCAGCCCCGCCTCCCAGCCCAGCCGCGGGCCGGCGGCCGCCCAGGCGATGCCGCTGGCGGACGCCGAAGCGAAGCCTCCAGGCGGCACCCGCGCGGCGTGCCAAGCGGCGTTGCGGCGCCGCCTGGACGCGGCGCCCGCTGGCCGCGCACTGGAGGGCAGGCCTAGACGCGAGCTCGCGGTCGCGCCATGAGCCAGGCTCGCCACCTGCGCCAGCGCGGCGGCCGATGGCCGCCACAACAGCAGCCTGCCGCCGCTTTCGAGCGGCACGGCGAGCCGCAATCGGGCCCAGGGAGTCGATGTCAGCCTGCCGTTGCGATGAAGGCCGCCACGCTGTCGGGCCGCCCGCCGCCGCCATCCCCGAGGGCCAAAAGCCCCACTCCCCCAAGTCCCTCACGCCCGCCAAGTTGCCCCGTGAAACTGGGGTCTCGGGGTACGCCGGGGGACAAGGTCCAGGAGCAGGGGGCCAACGGAAAGGCATGAGCCAAAATGGCTACGGATCTTTCCTCGTGTTCGTCGTCGTCGTCCTCTTTGGCGTCGTGGTCGTTTCCGTCGTCGCTGTTGCCGTGGTCGTCCTTCCTCCTCCTCCCTTGTCGTCGTCCGTCGTCGTCCATCGTCGGCGTCTCGTCGTCGTCCCTCATATCGCGCTGTCGTCGTCGTCGTCCTCGTCGTCGTCGTCGTCGTCGTCTTCCCTCCTCCCTCGTCGTTGCCGTCGTCGGCGTCGCCGTCCTTCCTCCTTCTTCGTCGTTCGCGTCGTCGCCGTCCTCCCTCCTCCCTCGTCGTTGTCATCGTTGTCGTCGTTGTCGCCGTCGTCGTCCTCCCTCCTCCCTCGTCGTCGTCTTCGTTGGCGACGTCGTCGTCGTCTTCGTCGTCGTCGTCGGCGTCGGCGTCGGTGCCGTCGTCGAAGTCGTCGGAGACGCCGTCGGCGTCGTCGTCGTCGTCGTCGTCGGCGTCGTTGACGTCGTCGTCGTCGTCGGTGTCGTCGTTGTCGTCGTCGTCGGCGTCGTCATCGTCGTCGTGGGTTTTGCAAACCAAGTTGCGGGTGGGTGGGTGGGATGTTTGCAAGAGCGCGGGATGTGTCAAACTCGTTTGTTAAAATCAGTTCTCCTTTCTAAAAAGAGAATAGACTCTCCCCCCCCCGGACTTATCGGTTCCCCCTGGGATAGTATGCTCTCGTATATATATTCTGCACACTCGTCCATCCTAAATATGAAATCATACCATGCCAGCTAGGCCGGTTTCCCCCCCCTGAGGTTCCCTTGTAAAGAACCTATGCGGTGACATTTCTTGTTCTAACATAGCACTTTTTCACGAATCCCTTGCAAAAAATGAGACGAAGTGCACACGCGCGCGTCGTCGCGCGCGCATGCCGCAATCCGTCAAAAACCTTCGGTGCGGGAAGGATTTCGCAATCGAGTTTCCAAACAACATGCAACAACACAGGGTTTCGCAACACAGGGTTGCTGAAAAAGCTTCCGCGAAAGCTCTTGCGAAATCTTAAGAAAACCATAGGTTTTTCAAGATTCTCACAAAATGCTACCAAACGGGCTTCGCGCGCGCTCATGTCGAAATCTGTCGACCGCCCTTGCGCGTGTGTCGTCGCGAGAATCCCCTGCAAAAAATGGGACGAAGTGCAGACGCGCGCGTCGTCGCGCGCGTATGCCGAAAACCTTCAAAATCCATCGGTTTCGGAAGGATTTCAAACTCGTGTGTCCCAAAAAGCTACAAAAACACAAGGTTTCGCAACACGGATTTTCACCAAAAGCGTGCGCGCGCGCTCTTGCGTCGTCGTCGTCGTCGTCCTCCCTCCTCCCGCGTCGTCGTCGTCGTCGCCTACGTCGTCCTCTGTCTTTCCTCGTGTTCGTCGTCGTCGTCCTCTTTGGTGTCGTGGTCGTTTCCGTCGTCGCTGTCGCCGTGGTCGTCCTTCCTCCTCCCTCGTCGTCGTCCGTCGTCGGCGTCTCGTCGTCGTCCCTCCTATTTCGTCCCCGTCGTCGTCGTCGTCCTCGTCGTCGTCGTCTTCCCTCCTCCCTCATCGTTGTCGTCGTCGGCGTCGCCGTCCTTCCTCCTTCTTCGTCGTTTGCGTCGTCGCCGTCCTCCCTCCTCCCTCGTCGTTGTTGTCGTTGTCGTCGTTGTCGCCGTCGTCGTCCTCCCTCCTCCCTCGTCGTCGTCTTCGTTGGCGTCGTCGTCGTCGTCTTCGTCGTCGTCGGCGTCGGCGTCGGTGCCGTCGTCGAAGTCGTCGGAGACGCCGTCGGTGTCGTCGTCGTCGTTGTCGTCGGTGTCGCCGTAGTCGGTCTCAAGAGGTTTTGCAGACCAAGTTGCGGGTGGGTGGGTGGGATGTTTGCGCGAGCAGTGTAGATGACGACTTCAAGTTCAGCAGAGTGGATTGCACAGCATAGACTGCACCACACGGATTGCACCACGTCGATTGCATAACACCGATTGCGCACCGCATGTACGGCACCAAGTACATTGCGCAACATCAATTGCATTGATGTTGCGCCACATCGATTGCACCACATATATTGCCCCACGAATGTTTGCGCAACATACATTGCGCAACATAGATTGCACCACACCTTGCCGATTGCACCACATGGCGTGCACATATTGTACCACACAAGTTGAACCACGTCGTTGCATCACGTAGATTGCGCACCACATGGAGTGACCCACACATCTTGCACCACATATATCGCAACACATATATTGTACGACATATACTGCACCACGTAGAATGCACCACCTATTCTGCACCACACGCATTGCTTAGCAACTATTGCACAACATATTTTGTATAGCGCCACACAGACACAGACATATATATATATATATATGTACAAGACTGCAGCGGCGCTTCGCGCCATGCACCTTGGTCCTTGAAGTTTGGTATGCAGGCGGAATAGCAGGAAGGTCAAGCCGACAATTTCGAGATAGCTCCTTGTTGCCCTTTCCGGCATCGCCGCTATGTTAATATTATTCGTTATCCTTCCTCCATGCTTCTTTTTCCTTATTTTCGCCGTACCCTGCGCATTCTCCCCATCCTCCTCAGCTCTTTTTTGCGGAGGCTCCTCCTTGCAGAGCCTCTGGGGGCCCGAAACAACAAGGCCTTTGGAGGCCTCCTGGGCGTATTCTGGGGGCCTCTGGGGACTTCCTCGGGCCACCCTGCCTCCAACCGCGGTCTCCCTGAACGACCGGGTCACGATTTGGAATGCTTCGGAGGGTGTCTTGGGGCCATCTTGGGCCGCCATGGGGCTCTCTGAGGGCCATCTTGGACCCGTGTTGTGCCGTTTTGGGGCTCTCTTGGACTGCCTGGAAGCCCTTTCGGATGGTTGTGGGGCGATGTTGGAGCCTCCCAGGCGGCTTCGGACGCCCAGAAGACCGCCGTCTTGGAGCGTCGGGAAGCCGAAAAGAGGAAAACCCCCCAATTCAGCAAAAACCCACAGAAAATCACAGATTTGTGCCTCTTGGGGCCTTCTTGGGAGTGCTCTTGGAGGCATCTTTGGGGCCGTCCTGGAGGCCGTTTGGGCCATCTTGAGGTCACGTCGGTCATTCTTGGAGCGTTCTTGTGCTGTCTTGGGGGTCTCTGGGACGTCTCCGATGACTCCCCTGATCGCCCTAGGTGTGCTGGGAAGGCTTGGCAAAACGCCCTGCGAGGCCCCGGGGGCCGCTTCGAGGCCCGTCCGGAGGGTCCCAAAGCCCCAGATCCAGGGAGTCCGGTTTTTTTTTTTGGGGGGGGGGACGGGTTTTCCCCCCGCCCGGGCTTGTAAAAATATAGGAAGGATAATATTTATGCAAAGCGTAGATGGCATCGCGTAGAGTGTATCACATATGTTGCTCCACGTAAGTTGCACAACATAGGTTGGCAGAAACACTTTGTTTGGGGTCCACGCTGGCTAACAGATGCTTCTGTTGCAGGAAATGGGGGGGTGTTGGCAGTGTCGCCGGCCAGATGGGGGAGGGGTTTTTTATCACTGAGGATCAGGACTCCTCAGTGATAAAAAACCCCTCCTCTCCCTCCTCCTCAGCACTCCTCCTCCTCCTCAGAGACTGCGGCGACGACGACGCCCCGTCGGATGCCGGTGGTGCGCCCGCGCGGCGGAGGTTTGCGACCGCGATCCTGTTCCCGCCCCAGTCGAGAGGCCAGCTCGCGACGCGCCCGCGCCCGTCGTCGTCACAGGAGGATGCGGAGGCCTAGCTGCCTCGGTGCGCCCGTTTTGAAACGCAGCACGTGCCGTTCCAAAAACGTCCGTGTCAATACGTTGCGTGTTGGCTCAGCGTATCGGCCCACGTTTTGGCGAACATATCGCGTCAGATCTACGTGTTCAGTCTACGTCTTGAGCTCCGGATGAATTCGCTACGTACTGCGTGTTGCGTATCGGGGCGGCTAAGTGTGAAGGAGAATGTGGGGGAGGAGGTGGAGCAGGAAGAGCAGGTCAATGGGGGATGAGTGGCGAAGAGGAGGAGGAAGAGAGGGAGTGGGGAGGGGGAAAGGGTATGTGCAGAAGAAAAGGATATCATGGGCCAGCATGGGAAACAAAGGGGCATGAGAAGGATGATGCTGATGATGGTGAGGCGGATGCTGATGATGATGATAATAATGATGCTGATGATGATGCTGATGCTGATGATGATGATGATGATGATGATAGTGGTGGTGGTGGTGGTGATGATGATGATGATGATGATGATGATGATGAGTAGGATGATGAGGAGGAGTATGCGGATGTTGAGGCAGATGCAGATGAGGATGACTCTTCCACTTGTTATGATGATGCTGATGCTGATGACGCTATTGCTGCTGCTGCTGATGATGATGATGCTGCTGATGATGATGATGATGCTGATGGTGACGATGACGATGACGATCGCGATGACACATACTGTATACATATGATGATGATGAGGAGGAGGAGGAGGAGGATGCAGATGATGCTGATGATTCTGTCGCTGATGATGCTGAGGCTGATGATGCTGATGATGCTGATGATGATACTGATGCTGATTATGATGGTGGTGATGATGATGATGATGGTGATGACGATGACAGTGACGACGACGACGCCGACGACGACGACGCCCACGATGATGATGATGATGATGATGATTATGATGATGATGTTGATGCTGATGATGATGATGATGATGATGATGATGATGATGATGATGATGATGATGATGATGATGATGATGATGATGATGATGATGATGATGATGATGATATTCACTCGGACCCCATCTAGGAGGCCTCTACTGGTGCTCACCCAAGTGGTGCCTGGAGCCCGTCTAGCTCGTGTGGTTCAGGCCTCTGCTTACAGCTTCCACCCAGGGGGGGTAAGAGCTGGAGCTGTGAGGTCTGCCTTCGGACCTCCCCAGCCTCGAGGGTCCTCGAGCTTTGCGTGAGCTCTCGTGACCCTCCTCTTGCTGCTGTTGCCGAGCCTTCCCTGGCTGCCCGAGTCGCTCCAGGAGTCGGCCTGAATCTTGCGCGGGGGGGGGGGAGCGTTCGATGCTTTTGTTTCTGCAACGGAGTTGCTTTGGTCGAACCCGTACACCTTGTTCATTTCTAATTCTTCGAAAGTTCTTGGATGTTTTTGGGGCCAAGATCCTTTCATTTCTAATTGTTCTATCCTGGGCCTCTTCCTGGCCACTAGGGGGCCAGGAACAATTAGAAGCGAGCACAAGTAGAAATGAGCACGAATAAAGATGAACGACGTGTAGCTTGAATCCACCCCAGCAAGCCCGTCTCATGGACGATGTGTGGCTGGCTGGACGCCAGGCGTGCCAGGCAGGCTGGCTGGATTGACAAGCCAAAGAAAGGTAAAAGGGTGTGTGGTGGTGCGTACCCTTGGCGCTGCCCCGCCGCCGCCTGGCCCCGCTCGGAGCGGGCCCGGCTTCCGTCTCCCTCCTGCCCGTGCCGGGTTTGCCTTCTCCTTCCCCCGGTGCGTTGCGGCTTCGTTCGCGTTCGTGTGCCCCACCAGTGCCTGTCCGCCAGCGCAGTCTCTTGCCCAGGCCGCCGGCGCAACAAGTGCGTGGTGTCGGCCAAAAGACACGCGACACCGCCCCACCTACGGCCCTCCATGTTGCGCTGCGGCCGTCGGGGGCCGCAGCGCATACCATGCAAAACTCACGCCAGACGTACTGGTACACCTTAGGCGATGCTTAAGAAAACTTAATTTTTCGGCCAGGGTCTCGATTATTCTTAACTTTTCAATGTAAATCTTAAGATCTTAATGGAAATGTTGGGTTAGTTTCAAGTTCTGAGACTATGAATTTCTTTACCCATGATTTCTTAAGCATTTCGCAGGGTGTATACGCTACGGCCCGTGGGGCCGTAGGTGGGATGGTGCCGTTTGTTTTCTGGCCCGTGGTGGTGCGCGTGCGAGCAGGCGCGCAGGGAGGGGGAGGGAGGTGAGCTCGGCCGCCCCCCCCCCCGTCGCTCTGCTCGGCTCCCCGAGGGGCAGGGGGGGCGCTCCCTGCGCCGCGGCTGCCAGTGCAGCACCTGGTTCGAGGTCGAGAGAGGCCTAACGCGCCGGCGGCGACGACGTTGCCGCCGCCGACGACGACGACGACGGCGACGGCGCTGACGCTGACGCTGACGCTGACGCTGACGCTGACGACGACGCTGACAACGACGACGACGACGTCAAGACGACGTCAAGATGACGTCAAGACGACGACGACGACGACGACGACGACGACGACGACGACGACGACGACGACGACGACGACGACGACGACGACGACGACGGCGCCGAGCCCCAGGGCGTGGCGCGAGCGTGCGATTCGCCGTGGCCTGATCCGCTTGTAGAATCCCCCCCCCAGCTCAGTGGGAGGGTATGGGCAAGATGGACTTGGCACGTGGACCCCCAAGACACCTCGAACTATCGCGCGGTCATGCTCGCAAGTCGCACCCCCGTGGACTGACTCGACTTTCCAATCCCGCACCTTCGCCCAACGCCTGGCCAAGAGACGGCCAGTCCAGCCATGCGCCGTGGCCCACGGGGGAGGGAGCGGCGGATGGGAAGAACCGAGGCTTATGCCCGTCCCGAGGGAGAGAGGCCTACGGTAGGTTCGCATCGTGTCGACCGGCAGCGACCCCGCCGCCAGCGTTCGACGTTGATCGTCGCCGGCGACCCAGAAACGGTCGTTGTTGAACGATCTGACGTTTCGGAAATTGCCGATCGGTCAAGGTTGAATGATCCACGCAGTGTCAAAAACCAACGCCAGGGCATCTCGTGGCATCTCGTGCGCATGGCGCGTGGCAGGCTGGTCACGCCTTCCATCAATGCGTCGATGTCAGCGGCGGTCAGCTCGTCGGCAATCTCCGCCTCCTCCAGCTCAGCCTTCTTGGCCCTCCTGCGGGCCCTCTTCTGGGCGTGCCTGCTGGGTCTGGTCTGGCCGCTGAGCTGGTCCTCGTCGCGCTGAGCGAGTTGCTGGTGAAAGCTTCGTGGTCGGCGAGCTGATTGGCTCTGGGGCCGGCCGGCTGGATGCCAGAGACGTGGACGTTCAGGGTGTGGCCCCACAGCTCCTTGCCGTTCCGGTGTTGCCGCGCCTTTTCCGCTCCCTGAGCGCGGTGTCTTGACCAGACGTCGGCGTAGCCCTTGTCAAGTGGCGGTGGCTGCGGTGCCGCCGAGCAGGGAGAGACACTCGCCTGCAGGCCAGGCTGGTCGAAGACCCTGGGAACGCTACATGCCCAGATGGTTGCCGCTGGACGTGTGGCCGCCGAGCGCGTTGCCGAGGGGGGGGGCGCCGCGGCGCCGGCGGCGGCGTTGCCGCTGCAGGCGCTGCCTCGTGGGCGGTGCGCTCGCCCTGGCCTGCTGGAAGCAGTTCGCTGCCGACGCGGTCGCCGTGTGCGGGGAGGACTGGCCGGCGAGCCCGCTGCGCACTGGAGGGGATTTGGCCGGCTGCGCGTCGGCCTCGATCGGGCTCTCCTGTCAGGAGGGGGAAAACCCACACACACACACACAGACGCAACGAACCGTCGAATCCCAGGAAGCTATGGGAAACCATGGGAAGTGGGGGGGGGAGACGAGAACCCAGGACACATGTGGGAGAACAATGGGAATCCTGGGACTTGTGCCTGTTTATCTCTGTCTGTGTGTGTGTGTGTGTGTGTGTGTGTCCGTGGGCCCATGGGTCCCGGTCCTCCGCGAAGTCCGCGGTGAGGCTGGCCCTCCCTGCCGGCTTCAGGCCATCCCCCCGGGCGCCTGCACGGTGCCGTTTTTTCATACATGCTCCGCGTGCGGACCATGTACAACAAATGCAGGGATTTAGTGCAAGAACAACGAGGAGTTCATGCATACAAAATCCTATGTGTTAGAAACTGCCCTGTGCGGTGCCGCAGGGGAGCCACGGCACGGGCTGGCCGCGGGCGGTGCCGCTGTCCGTGTCGGCACCCACCGCCCGCGGCCCGTCGCGCGGCGGCGGTGCTCCTGGCCGCTGCGACTCCGCGGCAGCTGCTCCGGCCGTGGCTCCGACGGGCCTGGCCCTTCACTGCACGGCGGGGCGCCGCAGGAGGTGGGCAGGAGCGGCGGCAGCTGGCAGCGGTCGCTCGGCGTGCACTGGCGGGCAGCAACATCTGCGATCTGTGGTGGAACGTCACGGAAGCCCAGCTCTGTGAACCTCCGCCTGCAGTCCGGCACTCCTTGTCGCCGCTCTCTGGGGCCAAGGCGGGAGCGTCCGGGTTGAGGCCTGCGGTCCTCCGGGAAGTGCCGTGAGCAGTTCGCAGGGATGCGGTCATGACGTTGGCGACGTCCTGGGCTGCGGGAGGATGCCCCTGTCGCGCAGCGTGCGCCAACGGGCGCGCCAGAGAGGCGTTTTCGAGGGTGGACGATGGTCTTTGCGGTGATCGGGGTGTCTCGGTGCTGTCGGTAGCCGGGCTGGTGCCGGGCCGACGCCTTGCAGGGTCGGTTTTCTTCCAGTACCGGGAGCCTAGATTTAAGTCGGGCGTGCCCCTCTACAGGAGGAATCTTCAAAAAATAGTCCAACAATGCTCTGGGGACTATCTTTTGAGTATTTGTTGGGCCATTTGTTTTAAATAGTTTCAGTATTCTTAATCTTTCGTCCAAACTCCGCCTGTAGGGGGACGCGCCTGACCGAAGCCTAGGTACACACGGCGTGGCCGGTTTGGGCGAGGGCTGGGCACATGTGGCCACATGCCTCTCCAGCGCCCCGCCCCTGAGCGTGGTCAGGCATGGTGATCCTCCGCACGTGCATCCAGCGAGTGGTCCCCGCACGTGCCGCATGTGCGTCTACTGAAGTCAGGCCTGTCCCTCCACGGGGAGTATTGACGAATAGTAGCAAACTATTTGGTGACGATGCTTCGACTATTTGTTGACTATTTTTTGATATTTGTTGTATGTTTGTAGAGTTTCCTCCAACATCCGGCTGTAGGGGGACATGACCGACCAACGTCTAGCCGTGTGGCGTGCCTCCAGCTTCCTGGTCGCTGTGGCTGGCTCCCCCCTCAGTGCCCCTGTGCTTGCGGGGGCCCGCGGCCCTGGGCGCCGCCCTGCCTGAGCGACAGCGGCTGGCGCGGCCGTCCGGCTGCGGGTCCGCCTCCCTGCTCCGTCGCCTGGGCACCGGATTCGGCCAGATACGGTGGGGGTCCACGCCACGAGACACCCCGCTTGCCTCCAGGGTGCCCCGGGGGTCTCTTGCGCTGCATCTTCGGGGGACCTCGCCCGTCCCCCAAACTTGTGTCTTCACTTCTCTTTTGCCCGACGCGGGCTCGGTGCGGACTCGATGCGAATTTGGCGTGGATTCGACACGGATTCGAATCGGATTCGACACGGATCCGACACGTGTTCGACACGGATAGGGCCGCGACGGGACAGCCAAAGTCACCCTGAGGATGCAACAGAAGGTTTCTTGGGTCTCGACGATTCTGCGATGAAAAGAGCGTGACGCTCCCGCACCAAAACAAAAACCAATGGACGACCTGGGGTCGCAGGGTCGGGTTTCTCGTGGAAGGTTTCCTGTGGTCGGGCCCCTGCTGTAGTTCAGGAGGGAAAGGAACACACAGACACAATTCATCGTCGATCCCCCCGAAAACATGGGAAAGGATGGGGGAAGGCAAAAGCCCAGAAACTATGGGAACACATGGGGAATCCTGTCACTTGTGTGTATCTATGTGTGTGTGTGTGTGTGCCCCTGGGCCCCTCGAGCAGTGCATTCCAGAGGGCCCGCGCCCTCGGCTCCTCCTCGCCCTTGCTGCGGATCGCGGCGGCAGGCCGGCGCGGAGAGGGCGGCAGGAGCGGCACGGCCGCGGGCCCGCCGGCTGGAGGCGCCGTGGAAGGGCGGCGGCGGGAGGGGAAGCGCTGGGATGACCGTCGGGGATTCTAAGTGGATAGGGGGGTTACAAGTGGATGCCAAGATGGGTTATATCTGGCCCAACCTGGCTTATAAGTGGGTGACAAGCGCCCCGAATGGCTTAGGGGGGTAGTTAACTCCGCTAAGTGGGCGGAGCCCACTTCGCCCGGATCGTTATTTCCTCCCCTAAGCTACTTAAAACACTTGTAACCCATTTATAAGCCAGGTTGGGCCAGATATAACCCATCTTGGCATCCACTTGTAACCCCCCTATCCACTTACAATCCCCGACGGTCATCCCAGCGAGGCGCCAACATTCTTCCCAGACGCGCTCGCGTCGTAAGACAACGAATCAGGACGGGAGGTGTTTGGCCATCTTCGGCCTAGGGGGGTCCTCGCCGGGCCTCGGGAGCGTCAGAACACGGCTCGGGACGCAACACCGGTCCAGGGGACAGGGTCGAGGTTTCCGGGGACGCCGTCCTGAAAAAATCAGGACGTCGCATGTCTGGGTTCAGAGCCCCGAATCATCAGGGGTATTTCCAGTCAGGGCTGACTCGGGTTCGTTTTTTGGGGTTCCGAACCCGAATTACCCCAGGCCCGAGCTACCCTGGATAATTCGGGCGTCCAGAGCCCCAAATCATCAGGGGTAACTCGGGCCAGGGCCAACTCGGGTTCGTTTTTTCGGGATTCCGAACCCGAGTTACCCCGGGCCCGAGCTACCCCGGATAATTCGGGCGTCCAGAGCCCCAAATCATCAGGGGTAACTCGGGCGCCCACATTCTGGGGTTCAGGGTTTCCAGCGTCGGCCAGATGGGCTCCGCGCGAGTGCCGCGGACCGAAGGCCCCCTCCTCCGTCCTCCCTCCCCCCTGCCTTCTGGGCGATCTGGCTCAGGCGCCGGCCAGGCTCTGGACGCCCGTCGTCAGGCTTTTCTCCTCGGCGCCAGGTTTTGTCGCTCGCTGGCGCTGACGCCTCGACGATGGCGCGCGTGCTCCTGCCTGCAGTCCTGCTCGCTGGCGTCCTTCGTGCGGGGAGCGCCACCTGCGACACGGACACGGGGGGCCACTGCAACCTATTCGCGTGCCACCCGTCGCGCGGCCCGACGTACTGCTCCGTGTCGGGCGACTTCGCGTGCACGTGCCTCCCTGGTCACTGCAGCGAGGGTGGCAGGTGCGTCCGCGACCCCGAGTTGCCCGAGCACTGCGACGTCGACCAGAGCAGCGAGTCGACGTGCTCGTTCCTCAAGGCCTGCGACGGGGCGGCGGAGGTGTGCACGGGCCGCATGTACGGCGTGTGCATGTGCCAGGAGAGGAAAAAGCACAGACACAATTAATCGTCGATTCCCAGGAAAATAAGGGAAAATATGGGAAGTGGGGGGAAGACAAAAACCTAGAAAATATGGGAAAATATGGGGAATATTTTTATTTGTGTGTATTTATTTGTGTGTCCTGGGGCCCCTTCAAAGGATCGGGGAAGCGTACATCGCCAGGAGGGAAGCGGGTCCTGAGCGAGACGTGTCTTCTTCTGGCCTCAGGGGCCCTCCACGGGCCCTGGGACTCTCAGAAATCGGTGGCCACATGTGGGCCCCACCCCCGCCCCCCACGATTTCTAAGGGGGGGGTGGGGGTTCATGTCGCTTGGGAGCTGGTCACCCAAGAAAGCGACTCCTCCTCCTCCCCCTCCTCCTCCTCCGCCCCCTCCTCCTCCTCCTCCTCCTCCTCCCTCCTCCTCCTCCTCCTCCTCCTCCTCCTCCTCCTGAAAGCGGCTCCGTATGCATCAGCTGGTGCCGGACGAAGGCCCCTGGGGGCCAGGACCCGGCTCCCTTGGGGACCCGGTGCCGGCGTTCTTCCAACGTGTGCACGCCGGTCGTTGGAAGTAGGTATGTTTGATGGGCATGCTGTTCTCTCCACCACCACCACCACCACCACCACCACCACCACCACCCACCACCACCACCACCACCACCACCACCACCACCACCACCAACCACCACCACCACCGCCCACCACCACCACCACCACCACCACCACCACCACCACCACCACCATAGGAAGTTGGAGGGGGGAAGGAGGTGGAGGAGGACGAAGTGGAGGAGGAGGACGACGAAGAGGAGGAGGAGGAGGTGGAAGGAGGAGGGTGGAAGGAGGTGGAGGAGGCCGAGGAGGAGGAGGAGAAGGACGACGAAGAGGAGGAGGAGGAGGAGGAGGAGGAGGAGGACCTCCTCCAACTTATGGTGGTGGTGGTGGTGGTGGTGGTGGAAAACAGGCCCTTCAATTTGTGGATTCGCTGATCCCAACCAACTTCAAGCGCCTTCCTGCTTCAAGAGTCGTTTTTTTTTTTGCTGTTTTCTGTCAGTTATGCATGAGGGGCGCCTGAACCCAACCTGCTTTCTCCGCCTTCCCACTTCGTGCTTCTACCTGCTTTTATACCTTTTCCTGGACCTAGGCTTTGCCGCCGCCTTTCGATTGTCCCGGCATGAATTTTGCAGGTCCAGTTTCGGTGGGGTGGTTTCAGCGGCAAGTCGCGCCAGGTTTCAGAGGCAGGTCCCGTCATCACCCGGACGGCCCCGTCAGGCAGGTTCGAGCCCCCCAGCTCGGGTCTCACGTCTCCCCGGAAGGAGGGCTTCTGCAAGAACAAGGCCACCGGGGTCTGCACCAACGCCACGGCTGGCGCATCCGGCACGATCGCAGCCGCGCTCGTCGAGAGCGCGGCCGCCGACGAGGTGCAGGGCGGCGCGACCCAGAGTCTCGTCGCTGCCATCGCTGCCGCCGGAGCTTGCGCCCTTGCTATGCTCACCGCGATCGCGCACCGGCTTCGGCAGCGCACGGCGATGACGCAGCCGCTGCTGGAGTGAGCCGGCGGGCGAGTGACGGCGTGCCTGTCGCGTTGCAGCGCCAGCACAGCGGCGCGGCCTTCACAGAAACGGCGCGACGCTGCTCCCCCTCTCCCTCCCCGGTGAGGTGTTCCTGCGCCTCCGGGTCCTGATCCGCGGAGGTCCCCCGAGGCCTCCGGAGGCTTCCAGAGTCCAGGGAGGAAAACGCTCCCCGACCCCGACGATTGGCGTCTACGAAGCGGCCTCCGGCGTTTACGAAACAGCACCGCCCTGTTCGTTTCCTCTCTTGGGTGCGCCTGCTAAACGGCTTCGCTTCTCGGGGTGCTTGCTTTCTTGGGGGTGGACGTTCTGCTCTCCACAGGCCCCCGGTTCGGCGGCGAGCGAGGGCACGGGAGCTGCGAGGGAGAGGGCCATCTCAGAGGGCGGCCGGCCCTCTCTCGGAGGCCCAATTGGGCCTTCTTCCGAGACGGCTCCCGTGTCGTCGGGGCAGGCGCCGAGAGGTCATCCGAAGGCCGGGGGGCCTCCGAGCCTTCTGCGAAGGCCCGCCCCTCCTCGCCTCCCTCCCCCTCGCTCGCCGCCGACCAGCAGCTGGGGGGCCCCCAGTCCCGCCGCGTCGCTCAGCGAGTCCGCCCGCATAGGGGCTCTCTCTTTGTTTTGGGCGGCTTCTCAAGAGAGGCCGGTGGTGCAGCAGAGGTCTTTGTGGCCGCACTGCGCTCGCGGCTTCTCGCTGTCCAGGAGGAGGAGGAGGAGGAGGAGGAGGAGGAGGAGGAGGAGGAGGAGGAGGAGGAGGGGGATGAGGAGGAGGAGGAGGAGGAGGAGGATCAGGAGGAGGAGAAGGAGGAGGACCGGCCACAAAACAAACGACATCTCTCCAGCTACGGCCCATCGGGGTCCGTAGCGTATACCACGCAAAAGCCCACGCCAGATTTGTTGGTATACGCTAAGCCCCGTGGGGCCGTAGGTGGTGTGGTGTCTTTCTGGTCTAGAGGAGGCGGAGGAGGAGGAAGAGTAGGAGGAGGAGCAGGAGGAGGAGGAGGAGGAGGACGTGGAGGATGAGGAGGGAAACCAGTGTAAAGCCAGGGCTCATCAACGATATTGCAATCAACCCTTCCTCCAAGTTCCCCCCTCGTAGGCCAATACAAGGGTTCATTTTCATTGAGGGAAGTGCACCGTTGGAAGACAACCGTTTGAAAACTGTGAACTGTGTCAGAGCACCGTTCCTGAGACTTCAACGCCGCGAATCACCGTTACCGCTGCGTCTGAGCGATGCGGAGTCGCACCAGAACGCCATTCCTGGGCTTACAACACCGCGACTCATTTCAACTAGTGCGCCTTGACAGTCCGACATTGTGCCAAAACGCAGAATCTGGGACGTTAGCCATGGGACACAATGAAACTGCTGTACACCCTTCAAGCGAATCTGCGCGGCGCTAAGGCGAGAGCCACATTCTGAGAAGGAGCCGCCCTCCATCCGTGAAGCTCGTGCGGCAGGTTTTGAGGACGAATGCGCGCAGCGCCGAGGCGAGGGCCACGCGTTGGAGAGGAGCGGCGCTCCATCCGTGAAGCTCTGGTTGCTGTGTTTGCAAGGCGCGGCGGCGCCAAGGAGAGGGCCACACGTCGGAAACCGCCCGCCGCCCATCCGTGAAGCTCTTGCTGCAGTGTTTGCAAGGCGAGCGTGCGCGCAGCGCCTGAGGCGAGGGCCGCGTTTCGAAGGCCGCCCGCCGTCCATCCTTGCGAGGACCGTGCATCTTGCGGCACTCCTTGGCGAAACGCCCAGCACGCCTCGGGGTGCGACGGGGAGGAGCTCTTTTGCAAGGAGCAAGAAGGGATGATGATGATGATGATGATGATGATGATGATGATGATGATGATGATGATGATGATGATGATGATGATGATGATGATGCTGATGCTGCTGCTGCTGCTGCTGATGATGATGATGCTGCTGATGATGATGATGATGATGATGCTGATGATGATGATGATGATGATGCTGATGCTGATGATGCTGATGATGATGATCAGGAGGAGGAGGAGGAGGAGGGATGATGAGGAGGAGGAGGAGGTGGAAGAGGAGGAGGCCGCGGATAATGCGGAGGAAGGGGATGTTGTTGTTGTTGAACATTATTTATTCTAAAGAATAATTATTGTTGGGCCCCCTGGTGCACGCCCCCCCTGCGCCGCCTAGGCCGCAGCTACATTTTCATCATTTTCGTGAGGAAGCCTCAGGTAAAACGATGTGATCCAGATCCGGTTGTTTTGTTGTAATCCGTTTTCCCTTGCAAAAAACACTATAAAATGACATTTCTTGTTCTAATATAATCAAATTTCAAGAATCCCTTGCAAAAAATAAGGTAAAGTGGACATTCGCGCGCGCAAGACGAAATCCTTCCAAAAGCTTAGTGTTCGGAGCGATTTTAACATAAAAACATCAAAAAACCAATGGTTTTTCAACAAAAAAATGTCAAAATCTCATCCCGCGCGCTCTTGCGGATTCGTAGGAAACCCAACACTTTTTAAACATTTCTGTCAAACGGGCTTTTGCGAGCAACTTTTTCGAACTTCTGCGACAACGGTTGCGCACCTGCCAGGGCCATCATCCCTGTCAAATAATACCATGCGGGACACATTCGTTTTTTCTTCGCGCGCGCACGCCGAAATCTCCAAAAACCATTGGGCTTCTTAAGAATTTTAGCACCGCGCATCATAAAATCACACGAATCGCACCGTAGGTCCTCGAAAAACACCTGCACGACTTTTCAAAATTTCTACCCGCGCGCGCTGTCCGAATCCTAAAAAAAACCAATGGTTTTCCAACATTTATGTTACATGAGCTCGCGCGAGCTACTTTCGCACGCTCTTGCAACCATCGGGACAACCATCGGAACAACCATCGGGACAACCATCGGGACAATCATCGGGACAGTCATCGGGACAACGATCGGGACAAGCCCAACCATCAGGACAACCATCGGGACAATCATCGGGACAACGATCGGGACAACCACAACCATCAGGACAACCATCGGGACAACCATCGAGACAACCATCGGGACAACCATATCCTCTCTCTCTTGTGTATTCCCACATCCCTCAGGAATTGTTGTCGCTTCGCGAATCCCCACCAGCCCATCCAGAAACGATGCCCAGAGGAATTGCCTCGATCAGAGAAGTGGGCAGCACACAGAGGAAGCCATTATGAGACATCTTGGGATATCTTGAGCCATCTTGGAGGTCATTTTGGGCTCTCCCAGACGCTCTTGGAGTCATCTTAATCCGTGCCCCCCCCCAAGAGGCCTCCATGTGGCTAAAACCTGTGTAGAATCAATGATTAGGCATTCTCGCCGAGGCCTCTTGGAGCATCTTGGGTGCATCTGGGGGGGCTCTTGGGGCCTCTTGGGGGTCTCTTGGGGGCCTCCGGGGGGCCTCTTGGGGGCCTCTTGGGGCCATTTTGGGGCCATCTTGGGACCTCTTGGGGCTTCCTGGGCGCTTCTTGGGGCCATCTTGGAGGGAGTCGATCAAACAAGAGGGGGGGGTGAATTAGCGCCCCCCCTCGGAAGCCCCTAAAATCGCCTCTTGGACCCCTCTTGGAACGCTCTTGGAGTGCTCTTGGGCGCTCTTGGGGCCGTCTTGGGGCTCTTTTGGGGCTCTCTTGGGGCCCTCTTGGGCCATCTTGGAGCCATCTCCAGGCCTCGGATGGCCATCGGAAGCGAAAAGGCGAGAAAGCAAAAATCATTGATTTTCCTTAGGTTTTGGGACGATTTTGGCCTCTTCGGGGCCTCCTTGGGGAGCTGTTTGGCCACTTGGAGTTATCTTGGGGCCGTCTTTGGGCTTCTTGGAACCATCTTAGGAGCCATCGTGAGCGATCTTGCGCTATCTTGAGCCATCTTGGAGCTCATCTTGGGTTCTCTGAGGCGCTCTTGGAGCCGTCTTGGGCCATCTTGGACGCTCTAACTACCCGCGGCCCCCCCCGTCCAGGTCCAGGGGAGGGGGTAGGGGGAGGGGTAAACCCCTCCCCAAGGGGGAAGAGGGAGGGGTGGAAGAGGATCTGCTCTAGACCACCTACGCCCAGAGGGCTGGTGGGATTTGCCCTAAAGATGTGATCAACTATCTTGTGAGTACGTATCATGTGTATCATGTGTATCATGTACCATATGCATCATATGCAACAGATGTTCTGTGGAAGGCTTAACAACTTCTGTGGGTTAACAAGGCTTAACAACTTCTGTGGGTGTACGAACGTAGGCTTAACAACTTCTGTGGGTGTGTACTCCACGCCAGTGTAGTAGCCACGGTCGTCCGCAGGCCACGAAGTGAAGTGTCCGAACGTCATAGGGCGGGAAGCTGGGTGTGGGTGGTGGCGAAGAGTCGTGTGGATATTTGGTAGAGCTTGCACTGCCCCCCCACAAAGTGGGGGTATTGGCTGGCGTCGCATGAAAACCCTGGCACTGGTGAGAACACTGAGCGTTCGGGTAAAGTGATTGTTGCTGTTGTTGTTGTTGTCGTTGTTGTTGGTGTTGCTGTTGTTGTTGGTGGTGTTGTTGTTGTGGTTGTTGTTGTTGCTGTTGCTGTTGCTGTTGCTGTTGCTGTTGCTGTTGTTGCTGTTGCTGTTGCTGTTTCTGTTGTTGTTGTTGTTGTTGTTGCACGTGTGAAAAAAAAACAAGCAACATCATCGCACTGCTCGGTAGCCGGGCAGCCGTCGCCACGCTCCACGGGAGGCTCACGGGCACCCCCCGAGCCCACAAGGAGCTCCCAGGGACCCCCGCTCGTGCCCCCAGTGCCGCCCTAGCCTCCTAGCCAAAGAGGCCTTGGGAGGGCTCGGGACCGTCCACACTGGGGCTGCCCCGCCGCCGCGAACTCCTCCAGGACGCCGACCTGGAGCTCCAGCTCGCGGGGGTCGTGCGCGATCTTGTCCCACACGACGGGCTGCTTGAGGCGCCTGAGCAGGGCCGCGACGCGGCCACGCAGCGTCCATCCGGCGTCGCCGCCGCCCTTGCCCGT